TTGGTTGCACTAGGTAGAGTGCCATGATGTCATGGTAGTGCACAGCAAACTCAAACTCCTGGGCTCAAGCCATCCTTTTTGTCTTAGCCTCCCTCATAGCTGGGACTACAGGCACCGCCATGAATGGCTGGCTAGTTTTTTCTATTTTTAATAGAGACGGGATCTCAGTCTTGCTCAGGCTGGTCTCAAACTCCTGAGTTCAAACCATCCACTCATATCAGTCTCCCAGAGTGCTAGGATTACATGTGTTAGCCATTGGACCTGGCCTAGAATTACTTTTAAAATGGAATCTTCTTATTAACGGCTGGTCAGTTGTGGTTACATGGGTTTTTGGTGTTGTGTAGCTTAAACTTTCCCCAGCAATTGGATGTTTTTCGTTTCTAAATATATTTAGGACAAGTGCTAGTCCTTTTAAAAGGAGGTATCATCATTTCTTAATTGTATCTTTAATTGTCTTCATATGTGGTGATGGAATGAAATTTATAATCAGAATATAGTATGAATCCTTTTGTAGTTCATATGTGTGATGATTAGACTTTGGCTTCCTCAAACTTTGTGATGATATTGGCCCTTTACCTGTCTGATGTGGAAAAAAAAAAAGACTATAGCTTGGGAGGGGATACTTTAATTTCAAAGAAATTAAAGCATTAAAAAGTTTGAAGAACAGCATTGTATGTCAAGATGATATCGTAAGCCTTTTCAGTGTGAATAATATTTATATGTTAGTCATGTGACTTAGAGTTACTAACTCCATTAAGATACTGGTTTTCCCCTCCATGAAGAAATTTAGCATAAGACAGACATGGAAATCAACATATATCACTGTAAGCACGAGAACAGAAACTATAAAACTTGGTATAGGTGGGAACCAATAGTGCAGATGGCAGTGGGACTAACTTGGGAAATAAAGGAAGTCTTCGTGGAAGTTGTGGTTATATGGCAGTCCATAAACCAGAAAATAGAAGCATGAGAGAGTATTTGGAGAGAAAGAACTGACAATCCTGTCATGGGGGAGTATATACTATGGCTCGACATATGTGAGTTAGGATGAAACTATCTCAGTTCAGATCACAGTTGTACAAAAAAGAAAATGGACAACTTTGATTATCTAGATACCGTTTTACAAGTTTTATTCTACAATAAAAGCAGAACATCCTGAACTTCCTATATTATCCCACAGAAAGACATTTATCGGTAGAGAAACAATAGCAATTTAGGGAGGAAAAAAAGACCATCCCACTTTAATGGACATAATGGCCAAAGAACACAAGGCACATGGATTGACCGTATTCTTTAAGAAACAGATTTTAAAAGTAGGAGTGAGGCACTAATCCCCTGGTTATGGACTCTGTGAGAATGTAGCTTAAGGAGTGAACAAACAGAATCGTACTTTTGATAAGACTATTTTCAAATGGAAATATGTAGGCTGGGTGCGGTGGCTCACACCTGTAATCCCAGCACTCTGGGAGTACAGGGGAGTGTCACTTGCCTGAGGTGGGTGGATTACTTAAGCTCAGGAGTTGAAGACCAGCCTGAGTAAGAGAAAGGCCCCATCTATACTAAAAATGGAACACCTGGCTGGCTATGGTCATGCATGCTTGTAGTCCCTGTTATCGGGGAGGCTGAGACAAGAGGATCACCCCAACCCAAGAGTTTGAGGTTGTTACAAGCTATGACACCATAGTACTCTACCCGGGTCTCAAAAGGAACAAAATAAATAAATATTGAGAGAAGGAAATGTATAATTATATATTATACATATGACATGTATTATATAGTATATAACACAAAATATGCCATTAATGTTGATTGTTATTATCAGATATCCAGATGAAGAAGAAAATGAAACATTAAAGTAGTGTATTGCCTGAAGAAATCATGCATGGGGATAGAATTGCTTCATGAGCTCTGATTTTTAAAAGTGTCTGTGTAAAATATGAAAGGAGGGGCTTAGTCAAGAACACATGCTTTGGAGTTAATTAGACCTAGGTTTGAATGAGATCTTAGCCACCTATTTGTTCTTTACTTGTCAAATTAGTAAGTGATTCTGGGATTCAGAATCAAGGTCCGCCAAAGGTTAGCACTATACTATTTTCCTCCTAGTAGTGAAGATGAAATGAGATCGCGTATAGCGTGCTCTGCCACCGTGCTTTCTTATTACCTTCGTGTTAAAGAACGAATGGGAGATCAACTTCTGCGGACTGGTAAAAACTGTAAAAGAAAAAGGGCGGTGCCTGTGGCTCAAGGAGTAGGGTGCCGGCCCCATATACCGGAGGTGGTGGGTTCAAACCCGACCCCAGCCAAAAAAACTGCAAAAAACAAAACAAACAAACAAAAATTTGTAAAAGGCCATTCGAAGCCTCTGGAAATAGTCCTAAGGGGAAACAGATATGAAGAAACAAGAGAGTCTGTGATATTTTGAACCAGTACTGTTTTCTTACTCTCCTTTCCTAGCTCAGCAAGGGAGAAATTCCAGTCTTGCTGTGGCCAAGAACACAGGGCTTCCTCCTATAAAAAGACAAAATTATGACACCTTGAGTTTGATGATGGCTTTACTTTTTTCTTTGTGGTTTTGTTTTTGGTTTTTGAGACAGAGTCTCACTCTTTTGTCCTGGGTAGATTGCCCTGGTGTTACAGCTCACAGCAGCTTCAAACTGTTGGGCTCAAGAGATCCTCTTGCCTCAGCCTTCCAAGTAGCTGGGACCACCAGCACTGACCACAGGGCCTGGCTGGTTTTTCTCTTTTTAGCAGAGACAGGATCTCATTCTTGCTCAGGCTGGTCTTCAACTCCTAAGCTCAAGCAAGCCACCTGCATCAGCCTCCCAGAGTGCTAGTATTGCAGATGTGAGCCACCACGCCAGGCTTCTTTGTGTTATGTTATGTTATTTATTTTTTTAAGAAAAGGGGTCTCTGTGTTGCTAAGGCGAGGTGAACTCCTGGGCTCAAAGGATTCTCAAGCTCCCAAGTAGCTGGAACCATAGGCTGGCGTCACTGCATGCGGCTTTAGTTGACTTTATTTGGGATTCTAGAATTGGGCAGCACTTCAATCCATAAAGTAGAATAAGAGTTCTAATGAGCTGAACAGAAGAGGTTGAAGACAGGTGAGTCAGAGAACAAAGAATACATTAGTTACTTTTAAATAGAGTAATTTTTTTCCTATATAAGTATTAATGCAAAGGAGACTTCATTATCATGCCAATTAAAGATTTTAAACTGGCTGGTTTGGGAAACTGGTTGTTATCTCTTTTTACTTCTCCGAAAGTCAGATAAAAACTGAGTTTGGGTTTAGAACTTTAGCATGAGTGACTCCATTTTGATTTTTAGTTGGGTCCATTTGGGCCTAGTGTAGAAGCTTATTCCAAAACAATGGTCTCTTGTAATTTTTATTTGTCATCTCCCCGCTCTTGGACAGGCAACTTTTTGTAAGAAGAGCAGGGCATCAGTATTTCATATACTGCCCCCTGTTGCCTGTTGCTGAGGCTAACTCCGAGAGGACTACAGCTGAGAGGTGGGGCTCCCTTATCGTCTTGTCCCCACTTGTGGTATTTGATTGTGGCATGCTGAAAAACACTGGGATTCAAATATCTCTTGCTTTAATTTGGGTCATGAGACAGTGGTTGCCTGCCAGGAGAGGCAAACTGAGAGGACCCATGCTGGTATCTTTCCCTCCTTTCCTACACTTGGAGAAAAATTTGTCTTTGTTCCCACACCCAGCTCCAAAGCCCTGACCCTGAGAATTTGCCTGAAGGGTAAAATAGACCATAAAACAGATAGCTGTTAATTTCTTCCTGATAGAATAAACTTCATTTGCAACAGATAGTGAAGAAATTCCAGCCTGGCTGCACTCTCAGTGCAGAACAGTGGAGGTTGTGGGAAAAGGGATTTAAGAGGAGATTCATGACACTGGCAGATCTGTAGGCCTGCTAGTTCATTGAAGAGAACCAGTGAATGTCATCTGAGAAG